AACGAAGCACAGTATCCTTACTAGATGTCACCATCATCTTTTGTCTTGCTCGGAAAATAAAAATAAACTTTCCAAAACTGATGATTGAACATTTGGTTTTCTATGCTGCTAAAACTACTATTCCATATGGATCTCTCCTTACTGTGTTGTTTAAGTCTTTTGGGATTGATGTTGAAAGTGAGTCACCCACTTATATTAAACCTGAGAACATTCTTTCGGAGCAATCTTTGCTTCGCCTGAGCCTTAAACTTGAGAGTGGGATAATTACCTTCTTGACTAGAGGAGGAGAGGAGAAAAATAGTGGAAAAGGGAAAACACAGGTTGTAGAGGGAGATACAAGTGAGTCAGAAGAGGAGGAAAGTGAATCTGAAAAAGAAGAAAGTAAAGAAAAAGGAGAGGAAGACAAAGAGGAGGAAGAAATTTCTGAGGGGGAAACACAGGAGGCAGAACCTGAGAAAGAAGAGGAGACTCATAGTGAGGGGGAATCTAGTTCAGAAAGTGAGAGTCTTGACCTCCCTTTTAAAGGGGAACTCAGGAGGAGTAAGAGGAAAATTGTCAAACCTACTGTTTCTACACTAAAGCCTGTGATTATTGAAGACATTAGTTCTTCAGATCACTCTGACCCTGATTTTACCCCTACACAAGTTCCTTTTGCTTCTGAGCCATCTTCTGTTCATGACTCCCCCCCAAAACAAGCTAAACCCTCTTCCACTCCTGTTTCACCTCCAAAACAGACTTCTCCCTCTCCCTCCCCAGCTTTTCCTACATCACAGCCTACAGGCTTTGCTGCCTTCTCTGGAACAAATGCTTCTATTTTTGATATTCAACAGGTGAAAGCAGTACTGGAGCAGCTGACAAAGATAGTGAGCACAAAGCTGGAGGAAATGGCAAAGCAACTGACTTCTCTTCAACGCCAAGTGCAGGCTGTGGCAGACACTCAGGCAACTAGTTTTACTGGGATGGAGAACAAGGTTGATGCTGCTGAGAAGAACATATTGCACAGCACTCAGGAGATATTGGAGACGATTAACAGGGTGACTTTTGAAGAAGTGGAGGAAGCTTCTAATGACCCAATAAACCCAGCTGATGAACCAACCTATTCCCCATAATTGCAATTTCGAACTTATCACTTTTAATTTCTTTTGCTTTTGCTTGTTTTATTTGGATTTCAGTTTGTAATTCTTAACTCTTGCTACTCTTTCCTGCTTTTGATTTTCGTCTATGGGAACTTGGCTCGTATTTTCATATGATTGTGTGTGTTTGCTGATAATTTAGTACCTAACTTATTTTTGCCTTGCATTATTTGAGCTCACTATTCCCTACGTAGTCTAGTGGGAGTATAGCAAAATGTTTTTTTCATCTTTTGATAATGCCAAAAGGGGGAAAAGACAAACTTCATGGCGGCTAAGGTGTTTACCAAGGAACTCACACATCGAAGGTACAAACTTTTGCTAAGTTCAGTTAACTCAATAAAGTCCTAGTAATCTAAGTTTTTAAAGTCTTTGTTAATTTTTCTTTTGCTCAGTCTTTTTAAAATAAATACTTTTTAGTTTTTTTTTTCTAAGTTCTTTAATTACTCTGTTTGTTTTTTTGTTTTCATGTTTTGCTTTAAATTTTTGTTGCATGCCTGGATGATTTTATTTACCTAAGTTTGTCAATGTTTGTCATCATCAAACAGGGGGAATTTGTTGAGCCTTTTGGTTTTGATGGACAAATTGACAAACTCGACTAATGAACGTTTTGAGTCTTTGGTGAATAAAAGGGTTCAAGCAAAGTTCGTTCCGGAGTAGGAACTTGGATGCGGAGTAGCATTCTCTAAAAAGCCTCGTGCAAATCTCACGTTCTAGTTTTAATTGTGAGCACTCAATAATATAAAGTCGGAAAAGAACTCAATGACTTATGTTATTAAAAAGACTACTGGAATAAAAGTTAGTTTTAAAAGATAATTTCTTAAGGAAAAAAAGATGATTTATAAAAGTTTTATCTAGTCATCTATTTTCGAATAAAGATAATTATCTAAGATAATTATCTAGTTGTTTTAATATAAATAATTAATTTATCTTTTCAAATAAAATCCTTTTTGAAATAAAATCTTTTTAAACAAACTTTTGATAAAGTTAACAAGCAGTTTCTTTGTTGTGAAAATCTCTGATTATACGGTTTTATCAAAGCTAATGTTTATCAAGTTGTTGAGATAGTGGATTAGTGAGATAAGGCTAGGAAACCTCCTTCATGATCACCATCTGTCAAGATAACTCCACAAGTTGTTAGTGGGGTGTTGGCATGTGGACGTGATTATAGTGGAGGTTAATGACTAAGTCTTCTCTATAAATACTCATGCAAACTATCTCAGCAAAACACAACTCTTGAGCATAAAAATTCCAGTAGCAACCTACTAACATAAAGAGAGTTATTTTCCTTCATATATTCTTGAGTGCAATAGGTATTTGTAATTACAGATTGTATTGAAGCACTTTGGGGTTTGGGATTGTGAGTTTGTGTAAGGTGAGGTCAAGGAAGCTTCGCTGCTGAAGGCTTCTGTGAGAGTTGGGAACAAGTTCCTAATTTGTGGAACTTGTTAACGGGTTTGAATCTTCACTTGTAAAGAGTTTGATTACATAGTGGAAATTTAGAAAAGCCTATATCTTCTCTCGTCATTATTTCATTTAGTTAAATTCCGCAAAAGTTTTTAGATTTCACCTCAAATACAATTCCCCCCCCCCCCTCTTGTATTAGCCGGTTAGACTTTCAGTATATATTTTCTAGTTTTCCCTATTTCAATCACTCCATTTTTATTTACGTCCATTGCTGCTTGTTACACTTGGTATGTTGTGAAATTGCTAGGTTGCATTAGTACTTATATTGCATGTTAGTAAAAAAAAAAAAAAAAGAATTTTTATTTGCCTTAGTCAGTGTTCTTTCATGTATGCAGAGTATTAATACAATTGTTTTAATTTACATGATACACAGTTACTAGACCCTAAACCGTGTATTGTTATACACCAAGGAGGATCATGGCGTGAAGGGGAGAGTGGGTTAATATATGAAGGTGGTTTGATTAACATGTGTTAGGATCTATCTTGACACATCGTATGTTAGATCTGTTATAGCAGGTTTGGGGTATAATAATGTCATAAAGCTACATTATTTAGACCCAAGGAAAACCATGAAAGATGGGATTTTATTTTTGGGGTATGACAACACTTCTTTTGCTCGTTTTGTAAGTCTTGTTCTTAAATATGGATTGGTTCATATATATTGTGAACATGATGTTGCAACCACACAGGAGACTCAATTAGAATATGATCTTAACAAAGAGATAAATTTGATTGGAGAAACGAGATCATTTTTTAGTATGTTAACTGGTGACGATGATGTATGTATGAAAGGGGTGATTATGCACTTCAAGAGTCACCAATTGGTGATGTATCTGAGATGGGGGTAGTCAATCTTTGTGATGATGGAATAGATTATGATGAGGAGATTGTAACAGCTAGTGAAAAAATAAAGGAAGATGAAAAAAATGAGAGGGAGCTTTAAGAAGAATTGGCACAATTGAATAGAGTTTCCGTCTTTCCGAGAGTAAAGGTGTGCAAGCTACAGAAATGGATAGTGACTATGACTACTCAAGTGAGTTAAAAAGCCCTAGGGAATCTAGTGATGAGGAGGACCATGGTTATTTGGTAAGTGCACCAAAACAGAAGCCTGCTAGACCAAATAACAGCTACAAGGTTGGTACAATAACACAAGAGACTACATTTTATGCAGGTCAGGAGTTTGATAATGCTACTCAATTTAAGCAGGCAATCACAAATTATTGTGTCAACCATGGGAGAGATGTGAATTTTAAAAGGAATGACAAGAATAGAATGCATGCTACATGTAAAGCAGAAGGTCAGTGGAGAATTTGAGTGTCTTGGGCAGGGAAAAAGAGGACATTCCAAGTCAAAATTAAACTCATGTTCCTAATCACACATGTGGTAGGACATCCAAAGTGAGAAAAACCTCTTCTGTTTGGGTGGCTAATCATTACATGAAAAAGTTTAAGATTAATCCATATATGAAGTTATGAGAAATTATAGACACTATTTGGCATGATTGGGGTATTAAAGTGTCGATGTGGTTAGCTGTTAGAGCGAGAAGAGAAGGTCAGTCATTGATCCTTGGTGAATATAGGGAGCAATTTGGGTTATTGAATAGGTATGCATTAGAAATATTAAAAGCTAACCGTAATAATTCGGTTGTTTTTAAGTTGAATGGTGGGGTCTTTGAGAGAATGTATATTTCTTTTAAAGCATTAAGGAAAGGGTTCCTAGCTGGTTGTAGACCCTTTATATCACTTGATGGTGGTTTCTTGAAAGGTCCATTTGGAGGCCAATTACTTGTTGCGGTGGGAAGGGATGGGAACTATCAAATGTTTCCAATAGCATGGGCTGTTGTTGAAGTAGAAAGTGGTGATAGTTGGTCTTGGTTCATGGATTTACTTGCTCAAGACTTAGGTGCAGTGGATGGGGCTGGTTACACCATTATGTCATATCAACAAAAAAGCTTAATCAAGGCTGTTAGTGAGGTATGGCCAATGGCCGAGGTTAGGTGTTGTGCGCGACATGTGTATTGCAACTTCAGGGATAAATGTGGTGGAGGCCAAGAATACAGAAGATGGTTTTGGATGATAGCAAAATGCACTACTGAAAATGCTTTCAATGCCAAAATTGAAGAATTCAAAAGCGTTTCACAAGCAGTAGCCAATGAATATTGCATAGGAACTACCAAAAATGGTGTAGGGCTTTTTATACATCACAATCCAGTTGTGACAACATTGATAATAATAGGAGTGAGGTTTTTAATGCTTACATCTTAAACTCAAGGCATAAACCTATCATAACTATGCTTGAGGATATTAGAGAAAATCTCAAGGAAAGACTTCATAAAAATAGAGATTTTATTACTAAGAAGGATAATTTAATTTGTTGTGTCCTAGGCATCAACAAAAGCTAGAAATGTCTAAGATCAATGCAAGAGGCTGGTGTGCATTTTGGGATGGAAGGTTCACATACGGTGTAAGGGAAGAGATAACTCAAACTAGGTTTGTGGTTAATTTATTAGAGAGGACTTGCTCATGTAATGAATGGAAAATCAGCGGCGTACCGTGCAACCATGCAGTAGCTGCTATTTGGAGTGCAAAAGAGCAACCCGAGCACTATGTTGCCACTTGGTTCAGAAAGGAAACTTATTTAAAGGCTTATGATTTCCTAATGGAGCCTTTAAATGGTCCTCATGAATGGCCATCATCAAATAATCATAATATCTTGGCTCCTCCTTTTAAGAAGCTCAAAAATAGACCAACAACAAAAAAGAAAAAACAAGTTTGGGAGGTGACTGCAAGTGGGAAGATGAAGAAAACGGGTATACAGATGACATGTAGTCATTGTGGTAGTCAAGGACATAACAAAAGGGGTTGCCAGCTCACTTAAACTTCAGATGTGCCTTCTTCATTTAATTCCAATGATCTTACTCAACCTCAAAAGCAACCCCAAACTAAGAAAAGAAAACAGCCTGAAAAACTACCAGAAGGTAATGTCACAACTCCTACACCATTGCATACAAGGGGGATTGGTGTATACACCTATCCTAATGGGCATCAGCACACTGCTTTCGTAAGTTTCAATTATCTATTATATTCCAAGTGTTGTTTGATATTTGCATATTATTAGGCTAGCTTGATTAAAGTAATTTATTCTTTTTCCCCTTCTTTTTAGGTGATTTAACATCCTAGGAGAACATCTTATTATACTCATTATGATGATGAGTTAACCTTGCAATCAACGAGAACAACGCATAACAGTGTTTCTTTTCCTCCCTCCCAACTCAGCAATACACTTAGTTTACTTCCAAACAGTAATGATCACCCTGGCAGAAGATTTATAACCCAACAAGCATTGCAGGTTTGTCATTCAAGTTGAAGTATGTATTTGTTTCATTAATCTATAAATCTTTTTACAATTGCTAATTTTTTTTTTTTTAACAAAAAAAAAAAAAAAAATTATCGAAAGGATATGCCTAGGGACAAGGGTGGAGATCATATTTTCAAGAAATAAAGTGTTGTATAACAATGGTGAGCTCATATTTTCCAGAAATGAAGTGTATAACAAAGGTATGAGAGCTAAAATAAATTTATTTAAACTATTTAATTCATTGGTTGAAATTTGAGTCAATGCTTTTAATCTTTTATTCAAAAATTTTTAGGCATTTTTGCTTGCTTTATCGATTGGAGCTATATGAAGAGCTAAATTGGAAAGAACAAGAACAGAGAAACAAAGCACTACATGCTGCTATTTTTTGGACAGTATTTTTTTTTTTTTTCTCTTTTTTGGAAATCTAAGTTGCTTTTGGTTGTAATAGGATTTATTTAATGAATTGTTTTTTTCTTTAATTCAAACTTAACAGCAGGCAATTAACAGTATTAGTTATAGTACCCATATGATTAGAAAAAAAAGTTGAGTACACACTTCCTTAATTAGTTGAAAGTTGGGTACCTACGTCATATCTTAACTCGATGGAGACTCCTCCGTCTATTCACCTTTAACCAGGGTTAACCTTAGTTAACTAATGTGCCAAGTAGGGGTGGGACTTTTCAAACCGAACCGTGAAATCGCCCGTTACCGAACCGAACCATCACGGACCGATCCGTTTATAAACCGATAAATATAAACCGAAAACCGAACTGGACCGTTCAATATCAAACCGAAACCGAATTGAACCGCTCAATGTCAACCCGTTACGGACCGTAAACCGATAACAAACCAAACTGCGCAAATCCGAACCGAAACCAAACCGAACCGAATGGTTTATAAACACGTTAATGACCCGAACCGTTTATAAACCGAAACCGTTTAAACCGAAAAAAAAAACCGCTTAAACCGAACCATTTGTAACCCGCTAACCGTTTAAACCGACCCGTTTATGAACCGAAACCGTTTAAACCACACGTATAAACCGAACCGTTATAATCCGCTAACCGTCTAAACTGAACTGCCATAACCTGTTAAACCGTTAAAATCGAACTGTTTTCGAATCACAACCTGTTTAAACTGATCCGATTACAAACTGCTTAATTCAAATTGAATTATTTACAACCTAAATGGCTAAATAGTAAATACAATTAATGTTAATAAATGTAGATCTAATCAAACGACTTAGGTTTATACAAAGGTTTATATCACCTAAATCTAGGCCAACGGCATTATTAATATCGTTTTAGATTACTTATTTATTTTAATTACAAGATATATCATTTGTATCATTTTCATTCCAGTAATAATGCTAGTCCACCCAAATCATCTTCATTGTTCCTTGATATTCATGATCATCCAATAACACTCAAAGCCTCAAAGGTAACATAAGATTGGAGATATATGAGATTGTGTTACACAAGTGGCATAAGCATTAGAATATTACTGTACTAGTCAATAAGGCGTACAATCATTCACATTATCACTTTATAAAACTTTCTTATACAAGTATTTTGTAAAGGGGAGGACTAAAATGTTTATAAAACACATTTTTTTAGCTTTTCTTAAATTAAACCAGATATTAAGTAAAAGAATTTTAATAAATATGGAGGCATCCCAAATCTGTAGCCACAATTATTTCATAACATTACCACAAATCCAGCAGATAAATAGCATTAAAATTAGAGTAATATCAACAAGCAATTAAAAAAAAGTCACCATTTTCATTGATTAAAATTCACAATACATACCAATACATAATGAAACTACTATCACTACTACCCAGATTAGATTTCAGATTTATCAACTGAAATATCATCAAGTTTAGGGTTGCAAAAAATGATACATGATAAGATGAAGGGAGGAGTGAGAATGTGAGTGATTTGGGAGCAGAATCTTGAAACAGCAGCACAGCACCCAAGAGCAGAGGAAATAGCAGCAATAAGCAGGAACCAACACACGCAATAACAGATCAGCAACTTATCAGAAGCAAGGAATAATATAAGCAGAAGGGACTCAGCAGGAACTTATTTTTGTTTTTCAAAATTGCTCTCAGATTTACGTTTATCGTATCATCACTGAGCAATGGCTGTTTTAACTTAAAACTTGAAAAATGCTGCCAGCAAGTCATATACATTGAAGTCTCAACATAAATGACAAGGGCAACGATGATTCAAGAAAAATTAAAACAGCAAGCATAAGAAACAGCAGCAACAAAACAGCAGCAAGCATAAGAAATAGCAGCAACAAAACAGCAGCAGCAACAACTCAGCAGAGACAACAACCAAAAGGCAAAAGCACTACCAGCAGGCAGCAGCTCATAACAAGTTCAAGCAACTTCAAAATTATAGCTTTTGTTTTTTAAAATTGCTCTCAGATTTACATCACTGAGCAAGTACCAAAATACATTTAACTATTTAAGTCTCAACATAAATGACAAGGGCAACGATTTTAAAAGTCGTGAAAAATGCTGCCAGCAAGTCTGAAAATAAATGACAAGGGCAACGATTTTAAAAGTCTTGAAAAATGCTGCCAGCAAGTCTGAAAATAAATGACAAGGGCAACGATTTTTCAAGATAAAATAAACCACAATGAGACACAAATACCAGTTATGCAGATGAAGCACTTTCGGCTTCAATCTCTTTACCAACAAGGAGGACGTCTTCCTCAACATCCGCTTGATAACCACGGCACCAATTTTGGGTGGTAACCAATGCCTCAACATTCTTTGGCAAAAGTTTACCCCTATATTTGTTCAAAATACGACCACCCAAACTAAAAGAAGATTCAGAGGCCACCGATGTAATAGGAACGGCCAAAACATCCCTTGCCATATTTGCTAAAATAGGAAGAGAAGAAGCTTGAGATTCCCAATACTTGAGAACGTCAAAATGTTCCCCTTGAATTAATCGCGAACGAGGTCCATTCAAATATGCCTCAAGATCAGCCAGAGGGCATCTAGTTGAATCATCACATTCGTCATCAACCTCACGCAACTGAAACAGATTTTTATTATAAAAGTTAAATTATGACATTACAAATAAAAATAGAAGACTACCACTAATATTGAGTATATTGTATAACATAAATACCGTGAAAATATTTTGAGATCTCAACGTGCGATTAGAATTTTCAGATTGAGCTGTGTTTGAAGAGGCAGGATTTCTGCAGCTTGTATTAGATGCAGTAGAATAAAATTTATAAAGGTCATAAAAAGCTTCCTTAATCATCATAATCTTTTCGTCGCATGCCTCATCATTATACAACGAGTTCAACATATGTCTCACTCGAAACAACTTATAACGAGGATCAAGAGCAATAGCAACTGAAAGTATCAAACTATAATCCTCCCAATAACTCTCAAACTTCTCAAGCATAACTGCTGCCATGGGTGCAAGTTTAGGGTCTTTAAAGGCTTTAGTAATAGCGTACTCAATTTTTAAAACACTAACAAAATACAAATTAGAAGTGGGATATTCGGTACCAGAAAATAACATAGTTATATCATTAAATGGCTTAAGGAAATCACAAATTTTTTGAATGGTATCCCATTCATCAGCATCAAGTCTATAAGAAATACCCAAAAACCTACTAGTATATAGAATCAAGGAATCCTTATAACAATCCCTCTGTGAAGAATCAAATCATGAAAATCCAGCTAACATATGAAGACTTATAAAGGAGAAAAGAACAATAGTACAATACAAAATGGCAGTTTAAGACAAATTTAGAAAACCAATCCTACTATTTAAGGTGTTATAAACTTATAATGAATGTGAAAGACAGGAGTGCATCCATTTTGAAATCATTAGCCATTAAAAGTTTATAACCACTGACTCCACTGTCTAATGACAACTCAATTTGCACTAAAATTTAAATAAAAATCATTAAAAAGAAAAGAAGGGGCAAATATAGAACAAGGAAAGAATTAATCATAGATTCCATGTGAAATATTTTTGAGTAATATTTGTACATTGTAGGACACACCCAGAATATCATGAACACTCAACATCATGATCATATACACAAAAACTAAATTTGAACAAAAAAAAAATCCTCATATCATACTTCCCACAAACAATTCTTGGATTAAATTGTGATTTGGGACATAAATACACAACATAACACTAACTAAAACTACATGTTACATTGAATTATAATATATGCTTTTTTTTATACAAGTATCATATAGTATAAACCATAAAAACCCCCCATCAAATTCATATACTCAACATCATGATCATATACACAGAAAAATAAAATTTCACACAAACAAAAGCACAAAATAACGAAATATACATTGCAGAACAATTAATGAACAAAAGATCGAAACTTAGAATAAGAATAAAAAAATACCTTATACCGTGAGTAGAATATGACAGATCTACAAAAAAAAAAGAAAAAAAAAATTAAAACTTCAAAAAAAAAAAAAGCACAAATTAATTAATTATACATAGAAAAAGAAAAAAGAAAAAATACCTTATACGGTTATACACTTATACCGTGAGTATAGTATGACAGATCTACAAAAAAAAGAAAAAAAAATTAAAACTTAAAAAAAAAAAGCACAAATTAATTAATTATACATAACAAAAGAAAAAAAAAAGAAAAAATACCTTATACGGTTATACCGTGAGTAACTGAGTATAGTATGACAGATCTACAAAAAAAAAAGAAAAAAAAAAGATAAAACTTCAAAAAAAAAAAGCACAAATTAATTAATTATACATAGCAAAAGAAAAAAATACCTTATACGGTTATACCGTGAGTATAGTATGACAGGTCTACAAAAAACAAAAAAAAGAAAAAAAAATTAAATCTTCAAAACAAAAAAAAGCACAAATTAATTAATTATACATTGCAAAATAAAAAAGAACAAATTAATCAATTACATAAATTGCAAAATAAAACAGAAAAAATACCTTACCGTTCGCCAATAAGGAGATTCAGATGCAGAGAGATGATGAAGAGGGAGATTCAGAGGTGTGAGAAAGTTAGGAGATTCAGAGGCGTTAGGAGAGAGAGAGAGTCGTTTAGATTATGATGAAATGATCAAATGAGGCGTGCTACTGCTGTTGTTAGGTTTAGGTTAGGTTAAAACTTCTTCCCCTAATCTAACCGTCCATTTCCAATCTCAATATCTCACCGTTCATTTCAATTTTTTTTTTTTTTTTTGGTAGTAATTAAGGATCTAGAATCTTCATACATCCAACGGTCTTGTTTTGTTTTGTTCTTTTCGAGGTCTTTTTGACCGTTTATTATTATTTTATTTAATTATTTTTTTTTATACTACCGTTCATTTTTTAAACATATTAAATATTATTGTTAATTTTTTATTTTTATTATTATTATTTTGAATTTTTGACTTTTGAGGTTTTATTATTATTATTATTATTATTATTGTTATTAATAATGTTATTTTTATTAATATTGTTATTTTTATTATTATTGTTATTATTATTATTATTGTTAGTATAATTTTTTGTTAATATTATTATTATTACAATACTACTACTATTAATCTATTATTACTGTAAGTAATTTATTACTTATAAATTGTAAGAAACGCAAATGTTTCAAAATTGAAATTGATTCATTACGAGTTTACGACATAGTTAATGTACATCAATATCTATCATCTCTATATGTATATAATTAATCAACTATAAATTAATATATATGATCGGTTTAGGGTTTAGGGTTTTAAGTTTTTTGGGTGGTTAGATTTTACATCATGCATCAAATCATCCTAATGTAGTAAGTTTTTTTGGGTCCGATGTCTGAATGAGTTTAGTTTAGAGCATTACAAAAGATTTCGACAATGAACGAATGATTTTTTGTACAGATGCTGTTATCTTTCATGTTTAACCGTTAACTAAACAATAGCCGAAACTATTCTCAATGTACGTAGCATGTCTGTTGCCATGAAAAATATATTTAATTTGATATTGATCCGACCATACTAGCTAGTTTGCTATTATATACATTTAATTTGGCAATACTGTTAGTAGATTTGATATACCGCACGCTATCAAGTTGACTGTGAATAGAATCTAAATTATCTAATGTATGTCATTGTGGTTCGACCTACTTGATCAAACTCATAATTAAACTGAACATCCTCTTTAAGTTTAACCGGTAAACATAAATCATTATATATGTGAGTCTGTGACTTTAAATGTAATAAACTAATTAATAAGACTAGTAACTAATAAGTAATAAACTAATAACTAATAAAGTAATGAAATCTAACCATTGTTTTTCATGGGCATTCAATTTAATTGTTATGTATTTGACTATTTGTACATTAGTATTGCATAATGATTTCATCACCACTTTAGTGATTTTGTGATTTCGTCCATTTAACTTATCAAGTTGTTTGAGTTAGTAATCTAAATAAAGTAACAAACTAAATAAGTAAATAACTAATCCATTTAATCTCGTTTAACTTATAAATTATAAGAAATGCAAAGTTTGGAAATTGAAATTGATTCAATACGACATTGTTAATGTATATCAGTATATGTATTATGTATATGAGTATATCATATGGTACGAATGTACGATTGGTATCATACTATCATTGTCTCGTTGAATCGTTGGTATCATGGTATGTACGTATAACGGTATAAACCGTATAATCGATAAACATATATTGATTAGGGGATTTTTATCCACCAATCACCGTCTGACAAGTGGACCAACCAGGTTCCGCCACGTGTCCTTCACGTAGGCCAATAGGAGCCTGCCACGTGTCAATCACAGATACGTCCTCTACGGACCAATTGAGACACGCCACGTGTCCACCCATGCCAAATGGGAAAACCGGCCAACAAGGCCCAATCCTGTTTAGAGGCCCGGTCAGCCCTAGGTTTACCCTAAACCTAAACCTAGAGAGTGGCACGCTTCTCAAGACTATAAATACTTAATTAATCCTCATTAAGTTGGGGGACACAGAACAGAAACATTACGGAACACACTAATAACCGGCTGATCTCGCTAACAAAGCAGATTACCAACATTAAACACTCTCACCTAGAGAGACCTTATTACTTTAATTTCCGCATTAATTACTCCTTAATCAGGTACTAACTTGACCGTTGGAGGCGGAGCTCTCAGGAGTCTCCGTTATTTTGCAGGTACAGGCGTCCGGTTCCAGTCTCGGAATTGTAACTCTCCCGCAGGACATCAGAAAACCCCGAAACATATATGATTATTAAAACTTAAAAGTTTAAAACACTTGTTGATCGATCTAATTGAATACTTGTACATTCTTAATTATCAATTTATCGTATTCTAAGTATCAACTCATTAAATCATGGTCATGACGTGATCTTTAAAACAATCATGAATTCATGACCCAGACCGCTTATAAACCGAACCGGCATGATCCAAACCGTTCATAAACCAAACCAATTGGATTGTGTAAACCCTCCACTAAACCGGCCCATTTCAAACTGAACCGACATGATTCGCACCGTTTATAAACCGAACCGATATTGACCTGGGTAAACCCGCCCCTAAACCGACCCATTTCAAACCAAACCGGTTTGATCCAAACCGTTTGTAAACCGAACTGACATTGACCCGGGTAAACCCGCCGCCTAAACCGACCCGTATCAAACCGAACCGACATGATCCGAATCGTTTATAAACCGATCCGCTTATGACCCAAACCGAATTTAAACCGCAAGGAAATAAACCGAAACCAAACCGAGCCGTGACTAACCCAAACCGAACCAAACCGATCCGACAGCTAAACTAAACCGTTTCAATCCGAACCGCTCCAAACCGAAACCGACTCAAACCGAGGTCAAACCGAACCGCCACACCGAAGTCCCACCCCTAGTGCCAAGCAACCAGTCAACCAACCATTCATCTAACGTGGTATTATGGAGGTGAGTCAGCCGTCGTGTTCCCGATCTCAGTGGTTGAGGCCGCGTTAATGTGCGATTTGTGACGTGGTTGAGGCTTATTTGCGATTTTCGAAGTCGTGTTACGACGTGGTTGAGGATTGGTGCAGTGTGAATTGCGGCTGTTTTCGACTTGATTTGCGGCTTTCGAATTGTTTTGCGACTACTGTTGTCGTATTTCGAAGCCCCATAAAACATGGTATGAGATTTAAATTGCGGTAGCATATTTTAGTTTTAGGATTTGAATTTCAAATTCGTTGTAAATTTAGTGAATTGGGGAAAAAAAATTGTTTTAATTGATGTGAGGAACAATTCATTACAAAGAATACTTTTTGTTTCAGTTGTGCAATGTTAATGTGAATTGTGCAATGTTAATTGTCTATTGATTTGCGGGGCCAAATCCAACCTAACTATAGTTGAATTGGATTAGTAGTTTCATTTATGGCCTGAATTTGGGTGATTTTTTTCTAAATAGCCTTCATACCATTGTCACTTGATTAAATCTTCAAATAAATTGGACACAGTACGTCAGTACTTACTCCCCAAGAAAATTCCACTTCGCCATAGCTGTAGTTTTCTCTCTCATAAGCTTCCAATGGATTGTTGGAATAAAGACATCACTAACCATGGTTAGCTAACGCTTAATAATGTCGAAATCAGACGTTATCTACCTTTTGTGCTGCTATTGGTTTCTGGCAAATATTTTATTAATCTGACAGCTTTTAACATTGTTTTTATTACAACATTGCCATATGATTTACTTGTTTCGTTTATCGCTGAGATAAATGGGGACTACCTCCTCCTTTTTGAATGTTTTGGTTTTTTTTTTTTTTTTTTTTTTTTTTTTAAGAACAAATTATCCGCGCTATCAAAAAAATGGAGCAGTGGTGTCAATGGTTCAAATTTGGGTTTGGATGTTTGTTTTGAGTTTTTTTTTTTTTTTTTTTTTTTTTTGTTGGTAAAGAGAAGAGTCCTACCGGGTTGAAACGTCTCACAGGTTTTCCTGGTCCGGGTTAGCGAGCAAGGCACTTTGAGAGTGGAGAGAAGGGTAAGGGAATCTCCACCCCAAAGTGTATCTAGTGGGGTTTGATCCCACAACCTCATGTTTGGGAGATGCAAATCTTTTCGTGGACATTCGGTTTTGAGTTGCTTTAGCTTGGGAATTATAATAGGGAGTACAAAGTTACAAGTTGACTTAAATTTGGATTTCTCTTAATAACTTTAGTTTAGTTAATAATCTTGATAAACTTTATATACCAACTTTCATATGTGGCCAACCACAATTTTTTTTCTTTTTAATTTTCTCTCTCTCCTCTCCTCTCCTCTCATTTTCTCTTTCTAACTTTCTCTCTCTAACCGTCGAAGCTCTTTATCTCCGCCGTCTTCATGTTCGTCGACGTCATAGCTCCAAACCTACCCAGATCTCCTCGAAACTCCAAACCTTAACATTTCCCCCAAATTTCAATAGACTCAGATACAAATTCATCAATTTCAATCCAATTTCCTATTGATTTATGTTACCTCCGCCGTCGTCTTCGTCGTCGCCATCTTCGTCTTTGCCGTCGCCAACATAATTTGATTTTGAACCCAAAAACCCGTTTTGATCCTTTTCTTTTTAATTTGGTTATTAAGTCAGTTTCTACTGGTAATTTTGAACGATGTTAATCTCATGGCCTAATTCAGTGTAAGTAGATCAAGTCTTGGATCCATATGCCTAATTTGAGGTCGAGAAATCTGAGACTTATGATGATCTTGTTCATGTTAAATCCCGTTACAATATATCGCACGTAAAAACCCTAAAAATCGATTTGGGGGTTTTCAAATTACTTGCTATATGATGGTTGATTATTGTGGTGGTTGGAATTGGTGGTTACTTTAGCGGTGGAATTGATGGTTAGGTCAGGGGTTACTAGGTTCTGTCAGGGGTAGAGGTGGGCATGGGCCGTG